ATTCTTTATCATTGAAAAAAAAGATTTGGGTAATTTCCCTTCTTTACTTGTTCCCTCTCTAAGTCTATCCATTTCTAGTGAGACCACTCCATTCATATCACCCATTGTTATAATTTTCTGGTCCATGTACTCAAATAGTTTTTCTTCCAAAGTTTTGTAGAACTCAGTCTTATTGCCATTAGGTGCATAGATCCCAACTAGAACCAAATTTTCTCCTTGCCATTTGATCCGAACTGCTATTATCCTTCCTTCTTCATCTTTAAAGATTTGTTGAGCTTCAATTTTATTTTTTATGTACATGACCACTCCTCTTTTTTTCTCCTTGTCTGAAGATATGTGTCAGGGAACTGACATCGGAGCTAAGGGTGGAGGGAAGGCTCTCTAATGATGCTGGAGAAGGGCCCAGCAGGGAGAGAGGCAGTTCAGCAGATGGGGAAGCAATTCATTGCATCACCAGGAATAAGGAGGGGCAGATGGGGGAATCGGCGAGAGGGCTCCCAGACTCTTCACCGGACACCAGCAGGGAGAGCACTGGTCCTCCGCTACCCACGCCCTCCCTGCGCAGAAGACTTCCGCGCAGAGAAAGTAGGAGGAGACTGCGTGTCAAACAACTTTTATGTTGGAAAGGGTTTAAGAAACGCCCACTGACGGATTCTGCTAGCGACTGAGGCAGCCACGAATTGAAGGGTTGTCCAGACAGAAAGGTTTAACAAGGCAACATAGCCAGGAGAGGCGGCAACTTACGCACGAGCAACCCCATACCCATTATAATATGAATTCATTTCCTAATCTTTTATTAATCAGTATTTTTTGTGTCTTCTTGCCACATGTATCTCTTGTAAACAAATGAAATCTAAATTTTTCTTTTTAAAAAATTGTTCAATTTTATTCCTCTTTTTTTATCATTCATCCCATTAATATTCCAATTCCAAATTTTTAACACCATGATGTCCTGATTTTAAATAACTTTTATTTATATATCTATAATTTAGCTGTTTCTTCTTCTTCCCCTTCTTCTTCCTCATCTGTTTTCTTTCCATTCTCTCCCTCTTCTTCCTCTGGTTCTGACCCCCCTGGTGCTCCTCCGTCTGCTCCTTTGGTTTCATCCTTTTCTGATCTTAATTCCTTATATTTCCTCAGAAATTTCCCGGTCTCCTCTGGGCTTGTCAATCTGTGCCTTCTATACGCAAATGAAATTCCTTCCGGGAACTCCCATCTAAATTCAATGTTGTTTTTCTTCAGCGTCTGTACCAATGGTTTATATGGGTCTCTTCGTTTGAGTAATCTGATTGGTATATCTTTTAAAATGATTATGAAAATCCCATCTATACACAATCTCTTTTCTCTATTCTTTTGTATGATCATATTTCTCATTTCTCTATCTTTAAATGTAATCAAACAGTCTCCTGCAAATCTTCTTGCTTTGGTTGTTCTTAAGTATTTGATCCTCTATCAACCAACCAGATGTCAGGCTACCTGGTATCTTCACTGTATGTAACGAGCTGAGATTAGAAGCACCTGCTGTAAGGGAGAGGTCTTACCTGTAATCCCAGCTCGTTACAGTACCTGTACAAAAGACACCTGTCAACAGAAGCAAATATGCCCAGGAACCTCACCTAATTGCTGGAGAGGGTGCACCTCCACAGGCACATACCTCCACATGTGGTGGGAATGCCCCCAAATTCAACTATTCTGGACAACAGCCATACGAGAAATATGTAAAATAACTAAGCAAGTATTAGAAATCACCCCAGAATTGGCACTACTAAACATCTTCCAAGACAATAATGCCCATTTACATCACAAAGAACTCATAACCCGCCTACTTTCAGCAGCCAGAAACATCATAACCAGACACTGGAGAGACCTGTCAGGAGTAAGCATGGACCAATAGTACCAAATAGTATGGAAAACAGCCCTACTAGAAAAATTAACCAATAAACTGAAACTGACACAGGGACAAATAGAAGAAGACACCTTCACCCTGGTATGGCTCCCCTTTATCACATACACAGCCCCACAAGACAACGGCAAAAATCCACCAACAGCATACAAATCAATATGGCTAACCTGATCCAAAACACCCACCCACCCCACTCACACATGAAAACAAAGACCACCACAGCCAACCACAAATGAGGCCAACCTCTCTCACCACCAAAGGAACACAAGAGAATAGCAGAGAACCTGCACAAGCGATGCTGACACAAAACCCCACATATATTAAGTAAAATAGAAACATTGCCACCCCACCCCAGCCCCACTCACCTTTCCCCCCTCCACCTCTTTCCCCCTTTTCATGCTAATGTAACACTAATGTCTCAACAAATGAAACTGATCTGTAAAAATGTTACTTGGAAAAGAAAAGAAAGAGGAACACTGCTCATACTTTTGTAAACCAATAATTTTTTAAAATAAAAATACATTTAAAAAAAACATGATCGTAAAATTGTAGAGCTGGAAGGAGCCTGGTGTGAGGCTCGAACCACAACACTGAGATTAAGAGTTTCGTGTTCTAGCGACTGTCATCCAATCTTGCTCAAATATTTGTGTATCACTTTTGTTTCCTTCCTTCTCAGAGGGCTGGGAAATAGAAACCTAAAGGTTTGTGGCTTGGTCCCTGGACTTTACTTAACAACTGGAGCAGGAACTAGATTCTGTTTACATTGGTGGAGCATGCTGTCAGTCACTAGCCTCTCCCCACTGCAGAGAAGGATATAAACAAGAGGTGGCAGTGGCTGCAGATACACAAGAAGCGGAGTGGGTGAGTAGGAACTTCTCGGAGGATTACCCAAAGGGTAAGCAAGGGAAGTTGGTGACTCCATCAATTCCTTCCCCAACAGCTGAATATTGAGATGTTTCTATTTCGGAGAAATATTTCTTAATATGCAATACCAAGTATCACTTCTCAGAATGTATACTTTCCAAGAATTGAGTAGCTTTTAAGCTTATTTGGTGGGGAGGTAAAGATATGTAGTGTTTTTGACAAAGTATCATAAAAGGAATCAAAGAAAAAGCAGGGTGTGAGCTTCCCTTGCCCCCCTGGTTTTGCTGTTAGACAACATTAAGGGTGTTTTTAAAATGAAAGATCTAACTGTTAAAGTATTGTTAATAGGTTGTTTTCAACACAAATACTGAATGCCTTTTTAAAAGCAACAATACCTTTGTTTAAGAAAAGAAAATCTGGTGAGAGGTAACTTAATACAATTGTTCATATTGTTAGCAATTTGTTAACTTAATGCAACATATATAGGATAGATTGAAACAAGCAGCTGCTTGTTAAATTTCTGGATTAAAGTCATATGGAAATGTTAGGTAGGAAATTCTAAAGATTAACTCTTTGGCTGTGAGGATGTTCTTCACCTGAGTATAACCTGGTGGCTGTTGGTTGTTTTCCTGATACTATGAATTTTTAATCATATAAGTTTGCACATTTTAAATTTATATTTGGTTATATTAAAAGCACAGTACAGTATTCAGGGGTGAAACTATGCTTTATTTCACTGAGGTCAACGACACAGTTTGGTGCACACACACAAACACGCCATAGGCATTTGCATACACAAAAGCATCTCAACACATTTGTTCCTAACAAGTAGACAAAATATTATTTGAATACAAAGTTTTGCTTTAAAAAAAACCCCAGATAATTTACACAACAGAATATCCAAAATAACTTATATCAACAAGTAATAAAAAGTATGCATTTTTTTTACAGTTTTAGGGGATATAATTTATATCTATTTAGAGCATTATAATGTTTTTGCTGCAGGTTAGCTGTGAGATAAAAAAATTGTTCTTATATATTAAAGGCCAGAGCCAAACTGACTGAGGATGGGGGTGGGTGGGGAATAAGAGTGCAAAGAACAATATACGTGCATGGAAACGTGAATCAGGATTGCTCACTTACGAACAGGAAGGCTGGGCACGCAAGCTAATCCCTGAAGCCCTGCAGGCTGGGAGCCTCAATGACGCCCCTCTGGATAGGGATTATTATGACCGGAAAGTAATTGAAATCAGTAGGATTTTGGAACACAAAAATAAAGAAAATCATCAAATCATCAATTCCAGCACCTGGGGGCCACCTTATCTAAATTATATAATTTGGTATCTTAATGATTGATATTATTAATTGTATTATAAATTGGTATTGGTATTATGAGGCTATTATCCAATTATAAAATATATTTTAATAAATTTTTATTAGGAATTTAAACAAAACATATTATCTTAAAACATATCATCCTTAATTACCCCCTATTTTTTCCACCTCCCTCCCATAAAACAACCCACCCTCCCCACCCCACCCCTTGACTTCCCTCAGTTCCAATCTCTGGTTTCTCTATAAATGCTATTCTCTGCATGCTACAAAATTGTATAGATCCTTAATTTGTCTGACTAGTTATTATCAATAAAAAGTTTGTGAGTGTTTATTCAAAACCTGCCAAGGAATCCAATTCACTTTGTTGCATCTTTAAGTACTTTGTAAAAGGTTCCCATTCCTCTTCAAAATCACAGTTATCCTTGTCCCGTAGTTTATGTGTCAATTTTGTCAATTCTGCATAATCCATCAATTTCTCTTGCCATGCTTCTTTAGTCGGGGTTTCCTCAGTCTTCCATCCTTGTGCTATTAAGAGTCTCGCCACAGTTATCGCATACATAAAAATGTTTTTCAGCTTCTTTGGCAGGTCTTTCCCTATAATCCCTAACAAAAATGCTTAAAATTATTATAAAAATAAAATAAAATAAAAATGACACCCCTCTGGAGGCACCAAAAAAAATGTGGCTACCCACCCCCCACTCTCACCCCCAACTAACTTTTTATCCAACTAACTTTTTCCACCAGTGTCCTTCTTACTGGCTGTTTTGTGTCTTTTAGCAGCAGCCTGGCCTGCAGAAATTATTCTGTCTCTGAATATTTTCCTGCCAGACAGATGACAGAGCGAGGAACCCTCTTCCCAACACTTATCTGCATACCTAATTACAAACTGTCAAACTACAATTCCCAGGATTCCTTGAGAGGACACCATTTTCTGAGTTCCCTGGGAAGAGGGATTGATTGCTAAACCACTTTATCAGATGTGCAGAATTATCCTAAATTGGCCAAGTGATGTACAGCAGGGGTCAGCAAACTTTTTCAGCAGGGGGCGGGCCTACTGTCCCTCAGACCTTGTGGGGGGGCCGGACTATATTTTGAAAAATAAATGAACGAATTCCTATGCCATAGAAATAGATATACTTTATTTTCACTGTACCACTTGTTTACAGTGAAATAACCCAGAGATGCATTTTAAATAAAAGCACACATTCTTCTCATGTAAAAACACGCTGATTCCGGACTGTCTGTGGGCCGGATTTAGAAGACGATTGGGCCGGATCCAGCTCCGGGCCTTAGTTTGCCTACCCATGATGTACACAAAAGCTTGGGAGGCAGAGGGTATGGAGAGGTCAAGAGGGAAACAAAATGCAAAAAAACAAACAAACCAGGCAGTTGGTAATTGTGTAAAGGGAAATAATAATAATACCCCGCCCTTCTGGGTATGAATACCCAGCCACTCTGGTCTGCTTCCAGCAAAATATAAAAATAATAAAATGTCACACAGTAAATAATAATAATAATAATAATAATAATAATAATAATAATAATTTATTATTTGTACCCCGCTCATCTGGCTGGGTTTCCCCAGCCACTCTGGGCGGCTTCCAACAAAGATGAAAAATACACTAAAATGTCACATATTAAAAACTTCCCTGAACAGGGCTGCCTTCAGATGTCTTCTGAATGTCAGGTAGTTGTTTATCGCTTTGACATCTGATGGGAGGGCGTTCCACAGGGCAGGCGCCACTACCGAGAAAGCCCTCTGCCTGGTTCCCTGTAACCTCACTTCTCGCATTGAGGGAACCGCCAGTAGGCCCATGGAGCTGGACCTCAGTGTCTGAATGATGAATGGTGGGGGTGGATACACTCCTCAGGTTGAATGATGGGGGTGGAGATGCTCCTTCAGGTATACTGGACCGAGGCTGTTTAGGGCTTTAAAGGTCAGCACCAACACTTTGAATTGTGCTCGGAAACGTACTAGGAGCCAATGTAGATCTTTCAAGACCGGTGTTATATGGTCTCGGTGGCCGCTCCCAATCACCAGTCTAGCTGCTGCATTCTGGATTAGTTGTAGTTTCCGGGTCACCTTCAAAGGTAGCCCCACGTAGAGCGCATTGCAGTAGTCCAAGCGGGAGATAACCAGAGCATGCACCACTCTGGTGAGACAGTCTGCAGGCAGATAGGGTCTCAGCCTACGTACCAGATGGAGCTGGTAAACAGCTGCCCTGGATACAGATTTGACCTGTGCCTCCATGGACAGCTGTGAGTCCAAAATGACTCCCAGGCTGCGCACCTGGTCCTTCAGGGGCACAGTTACCCCATTCAGGACCAGGGAATCCTCCACACCTGCCCCTCTCCTGTCCCCCCAAAACAGTACTTCTGTCTTGTCAGGATTCAACCTCAATCTGTTAGCTGCCATCCATCCTCCAACCGCCTCCAGACACTCACACAGGACCTTCACCGCCTTCACTGGTTCTGATTTAAAAGAGAGGTAGAGCTGGGTATCATCCGCATACTGATGAACACCCAGCCCAAACCTCCTGATGATCTCTCCCAGTGGCTGCATGTAAATTTTGAAAAGCATGGGGGAGAGGACAGAACCCTGAGGCACCCCACAAGTGAGAGCCCAGGGGTCTGAACACTCATCCCCCACCACCACTTTCTGTACACGGCCCAGAAGGAAGGAGCGGAACCACTGTATGACAGTGCCCCCAGCTCCCAGCCCCTCAAGACGGTCCAGAAGGATGTTATGGTCGATGGTATGAAACGCCGCTGAGAGATCCAGCAGAACTAGGAAACAGCTCTCACCTTTGTCCCTAGCCCGCCGGAGATCATCAACCAGTGCGACCAAGGCAGTTTCAGTCCCATGATGAGGCCTGAATCCCGACTGGAAGGGATCCAAATGGTCCGCTTCTTCCAGGCGTGCCTGGAGTTGCTCGGCAACCGCTCACTCAATCACCTTGCCCAGGAATGGAAGATTTGAGACTGGGCGATAATTGGCCATCGTGGCCGCATCTAAAGATGTTTTTTTAAGAAGCGGTTTAATAACCGCCTCTTTCAGCGGGTCTGGGAAGGCTCCCTCACGGAGGGAAGCATTCACCACCCCACGAAGCCCATCGCCCAGTCCTTCCCGGCTAGCTTTTATAAGCCAGGATGGGCAAGGATCCAGGAGACAGGTGGTTGGCTTCACTCGTCCAAGCAGCCTGTCCACATCCTCGGAGGTAACAGACTAGAATTGATCCCACACAACTTGACTAGACAGGACTCTAGCACTCTCCCGCCCTGGCCCTGCTCCCACGGTGGAGTCTACTTCTTCCCGAATCTGAGCGATTTTATCTGCAAAAAACTTTGCGAAATCATTGCAGGAGATCATGTGGCCCGTACTGGGCCCCGATGTCGCAGGTGGTTCCGCTAAATTGTGAACCACCTGAAAAAGTCTCCTGCTGCTGTTTTCTGCAGATGCAATAGAGGCGGCGAAGAAAGTCTTCTTCGCTGTCGCTATCGCCACTTGGTAGGCTCGACACTGAGCTCTAACCTGTGTCTGGTCAGATTCGGAATGAGTTATCCGCCACCGGCGCTCTAGCCGTCTCAACGATTGTTGTTGTTTTTTTAATGATATTTATTAGAGGTTTAATAGTTACAGAAAAAAGAAGAAAGAAACAATAAAAAGTTAAACAAAACAAAACCTTACAATACATCAGAAATAAAAAGTTTGGATTTGATATCCCGCCTTTCACTCCCTTTAAGGAGTCTCAAAGCGGCTAACAATCTCCTTTCCCTTCCTCCCCCACTACAAACACTCTGTGAGGTGAGTGGGGCTGAGAGACTTCAAAGAAGTGTGACTTGCCCAAGGTCACCCAGCAGCTGCATGTGGAGGAGCGGAGACGCGAACCCGGTTCCCCAGATTACGAGACTACTGCTCTTAACCACTACACCACACTGGCTCAAACAAAAAACAATACAGCAAAACAACAAGAAAAACAAAAACATTTAAAAACACATCCAATATTTCCATATCTTTACATTTCATTTACTTGTTTCATCGACCTCCTCACACCTCCCTTTTTTGTATTCTAGTTCAATTAGCTACTTCAGCAAATCCTTTCCATCTTTCTCAATTTTTGTTCTATAATTTATCTTAACACAATCTAACCTTAAATTTTCCACTTTGGCCCATTGACAATCTGTTTTTGCTTAATTCTTTATGACATTTCTGCTAAAGCCATATAACTTCATTCCAGCATCCTTCTAACATTCATTAATTTTGCAATATTTCTGTAAATATACTTTGAATTTTTTCCAATCTTCTTCCACCGACTCTTCTCCCTGGTCTTGGATTCTGCCAGTCATTTCCGCCAATTCCATGTAGTCCATCAGCTTCATCTGCCATTCTTCCCGGGTGGCTAGATCTTGTGTCTTCCAATGCTTTGCGATAAGTATTCTTGCTGCTGTTGTTGCATACATAAAGAAAGTTCTACCCTTCTTTGGCACCAATTGGCCGACCATGCCCAGGAGAAAGGCCTCTGGTTTCTTCAGGAAGGTATATTTAAATACCTTTTTCATTTCATTATAAATCATCTCCCAGAAATTCTTAATCCTTGGGCATGTCCACCAAAGGTGAAAGAATGTACCTTCCATCTCTTTACATTTCCAGCATTTATTATCGGGCAAATGGTAGATTTTTGCAAGCTTGACTGGTGTTATGTACCACCTGTAAATCATTTTGATTAAATTCTCTTTTAAGGCATTACATGCCGTAAACTTCATACCTGTGGTCCATAACTGGTCCCAGTCAGCCATCATAATGTTATGTCCAACATCTTGTGCCCATTTAATCATAGCAGATTTCACCGTTTCATCCTGAGTATTCCATTTCAACAGCAAGTTATACATTCTTGACAGATTCTTAACTTTGGGGTCTAACAATTCTGTTTCCAATTTTTATTTTTCCACCTGGAAGCCTAGTTTTTTGTCCAAATTATATGCCTCCATTATTTGATAATAATGGAGCCAGTCTCGCACTTTGTTTTTTAATTTTTCAAAACTCTGCAGTTTTAATCTGTCTCCCTCTTGTTCCAGAATTTCCCAATACTTCGGCAATTTGGCCTCCATATTGAGCTTTTTCTGAGCCTTTGCTTCCATTGGTGACAGCCATCTTGGGGTTTTATTTTCTAGCAAGTCCTTATATCTTATCCAGACATTAAACAGTGCTTTTCTGACAATATGGTTTTTAAATGCTTTGTGTGCTTTAACCTTATCATACCACAGATATGCATGCCAACCAAATACATTGTTGAAACCTTCCAAATCCAACACATCAGTGTTTTCAAGAAGCATCCATTCTCTCAGCCAACAAAAAGCGGCTGATTCATAATAAAGTTTAAGGTCTGGCAGGGCAAATCCACCTCTTTCTTTAACATCTGTTAATACCTTAAATTTTATTCGAGGCTTCTTGCCCTGCCAGACAAATCTAGAGATGTCTCTCTGCCACTTCTTGAAACAGTCCATTTTGTCCAAAATTTGCAATGTTTGAAACAGAAACAGCATCCTTGGCAATACGTTCATTTTTATCACAGCAATTCGGCCTAACAGTGATAACTTCAAGTTTGACCATATTTCTAAGTCCTTTTTCACTTCAGTCCAACATTTTTCATAGTTATCCTTAAATAAATTCACGTTCTTAGCAGTCATGTTAACCCCTACGTCTCAACGATTGTTTCACTGCCCTCAGATCCGTGGAAAACCACGGGGCTGCCCGGGCTCCATGCAATCGGAGAGGGCGCTTTGGAGCCAAACAGTCAATAGCCCTGGTTAACTCCACATTCCAGCAGGCCACCAGGGAATCGGCTGAAAGGCCATCAACATGGGATAAAGCATCCCCTACCACTCTCTGGAAACCATTTGGATCCATTAAGTGGCGGGGGCGGACTATCCGAATCGGTCCCACCTCCCTGCAGAGGGGATGGGTCGCAGAGAAGTCCAGTTGCACCAGGAAGTGATCTGACCATGGCACTTCTTTCGTTTCGCTTTTACTTAGTGTCAGATCACCAACATCCATAGAGGTAAACACCAGGTCCAAGGCATGTCCGTGGCTATGGGTTGGGCCAGACTTATTCAGGGACAGCCCCATGGAGGCCATGCTTTCCACGAAGTCCCGAGCAGCCCTTTGTAAGGTCGTGTCGGCATGGATGTTAAAATCCCCTAGGACAACCAAGCTAGGTGTCTCCATGAGAACATCCGCCACAACCTGAAGCAGCTCGGGCAGGGAATCCTTGGTGCAGCGGGGAGGTCAGTACACCAAAAGGAATCCTGTTGCCCAACTTCCAGAACATGCACTCGGAAAACTGGGTCTTCCCAATAGGACGCCTGGTGCAAACTAATGACTTCCTAAAAATCACTGCAACGCCCCCTCCCCGCCCACATGACCTGGGTTGCTGTGCGTAAGAGAAACCTGGTGGACAAGCAGCGGCAAGGACAGGCCCATCTGCTTCATCCAACCAAGTCTCTGTTACACATGCCAGGTCAAATCCTCCATCCACGATCACGTCATGGATGGCAGTGGTCTTATGAATCATTGACCTGGCATTGCACAGCAGCACCTTCAGGTCATGTGGGTATCCCTTGCTGATTCTAGTATCTATCCGGTCAGGACCAGACCCAGAGGCAGGGATAGTCCTCAGACAACGACTAAACCTGCCTCCTCTGTAATGACATGGTCTGGTCTTAGCGTAACTCCTCCTCCTACCCGTGATCACTGAGATCGGTTGTCCCAGTGCATCCCCCCCGTGGAACATGCCCCAGCCATTTTGTTGGCTGGGACCTACTCCCCGGCAGCCCTGACCCCTCCCCTTAAGAACAAAATAACACCTTAAAAAAAAACACCAATAAAACAATACAAACAAAAAACAGTAAAAATTACAAAAACATAAAATCAAACAAATTCCCAGGCCCAATAAACATCCATCCCACCGCCACCCCCACATACAAAAAATTCAAAAGAAAATTTTTAAAACATTTTAAAAGCACTCTGCACCCCTCCAGCAGTAACAGCAACTGTCCTAGTGAGGCCCGTCAGGCCCTGCCCTGGGCCAGGTGGTAAGTGGCAGGAAGGAGCAGGGCCCCCAGACACTCACACAGGAGAGTCCTCCTGGGCAGCAGAGCGCAGCAGTCCCTGTGAGGCTTCAGGCCCCACCCTGGGCCAGGTAGATGGTAAGCGGCAAGAGCAGGGCCCTCAGACACTCACACAGGAGAGTCCTCCTGGGCAGCAGAGCGCAGCAGTCCCTTCGCGAAACAGAGACCAGCAGAGGATGATAATTGTCACTGTAACGATTTAGGGAGTGATTGTTAAACCACTTTGATACTTGTTGCTCTCAAACAGGAACAGGGATCTCCTCACAACTCTCAGCACCCTCAACAAACTATAGTTCCCACTATTCTTTGAGGGAAGCCATGAGGACCATTTAAAGTGGTACAATACTGTCAACCAGCTCATGGGCATAGCCAGGATCTTTGTGGGGGGGCAGGATTTGGTTGGGGGGGGTCAGGACTTTTGTTAGGGGGGCAGAACCGACATGATTGGTCAGTTAGTTAAGTATTTACAGTATATTGTTTTACTTGATCGGGGGGGGGAGCTGCTCCCCCCGCTACACCCATGAACCAGAGTCCTTTTTTAACTCATGGAAGCTTATGCTGAATATAATTTGCTAGTCTTTATGTTACCATGAGACTCTTGGTTGCTTTTGCTGTGAAACAGAATTAACACGGCAGTTTCCCACCTTGGGAATTGTTTTAAGCAAATCATTTTAACAGTGCGGTGGCATAATGTGCGAGTGGATTCTGGACGCAGTGGGAGTCTGAGTGGTTGTTAGTTAAGAACATAAGATCTTGCTGGATCAAGCCAATGGTCCATCTAGTCTAGAATCCTGTTTTCACAATGGCCATTCAGATGCATCTGGAAAACCCTCAATCGCAACTCCACTGGTTTCCAGCAACTGGTATTCAGAAGCATTGCAGCCTCTGAACTGGAGGCAGAGCACAGCCATCGTGGCTTGTAGCCACTGATAGCCATGTCTCCATTAATTTGTCCAGTCCTCTTTTAAAGCCACCCAAAATTGGTGGCCGTCACTGCCTTCTGTGGGATTGAGTTCCAGAGTTTATCACACAATTGTACACTGCATTATCCTAACAAGAGTTTCTGGCACCTCTATACAGGTCTTTAGGAAGCCAGCATGGTTAATCCAGGTAAGAGAGCCTGTTTACTTTCTTGGGGATTGGGTAACTGTAACCTTACAGTCCAAAGCAGTTGTCTCAAACTCTCAGTCAGTGTCACAAACTCTCCTCACCTCCACCCCCACTCAGCGCAGATTAAAATTGGAAGCATGCTTCACCGTTAGGATCTGTTGACACTATGGCATTAATGTGTTAAAATGTGTAGATTAGTAAAAATAACATTTTAAAAAATGTATTGTTTTAGAGAAATTGCTTTGGGGGAAAAATGTGTGCACTAAGGAATATTGCATAAAAATGTATATATTAGGAGAAATCAGCATTGAAATGTTGGTAAATTTTCATGAGAATTTGTTTGCATTTGCTTTTAAATCAAGCTGATATGGAAATGTGAACTGAACCTAAGACTGGAAAACATGAGGAACAGAAAGTAACTTAAACTGACAAACATGCCCATCACAGTTGTAGCTCACCTGATGCCTTTTTGCATTTTACAATCATACCTCTGGTTGCGAGCACATTCGCAACCCGCAGTGATCCTAGCCTGAAGTGCCGCGTCTGCGCACGCGCATGATGCAATCCAAAGCTTCTGTGCATGCGCATGATGTCATTTTGTGCTTCTGTGCATGCATGAGGGCCAAAACCCGGAAGTAACCCGTTCCGGTACTTCCGGGTTCGGCGCAGTCTGCAACCTGAAAACCCGCAACCAGCAGCGTTCGTAAACGAAGGTATGACTGTATATGTACTTGAGATCCATTATAACTTATTAAAACAAGTCTCTCTTTCAGTAGCTGTAGTTTTGGGAGGTGCAGCTGGCTTGGGTAAGTAATCTGGATTTCCAGTTGGGGAAGTTTGGGTGATTATTTTGCTTGTAGCAGCATGAATGAAGCTTGCAAGTCATTGGAAATGGTGGAGTTCACAATGAAAGTCTGGCTTGATGAGAGCTGTGAAATGGCTTTGACAGAACACCTGGCATATCAAAACAGAATAACTGAAGGGATAGCCAATACCACTAAATTTAACAAAATTTGGATGCCCTTTCTGCATTAAGCAAATACAGTGATACCTCAGGTTAAGTACTTAATTCGTTCCAGAGGTCTGTTCTTAACCTGAAACTGTTCTTAACCTGAAGCACCACTTTAGCTAATGGGGCCTCCTACGGCTGCCGCGCCACCAGAGCACAATTTCTCTTCTCATCCTGAAGCAAAGTTCTTCACCCAAGGTACTATTTCTGGGTTAGCGGAGTCTGTAACCTGAAGTGTATGTAACCTGAAGCGTATGTAACACGAGGTACCACTGTATCTATATATCGTAGTCTGTTCCCACACCTTTTTTTCAAGAAAAAAAGCACTGGTAGCCGGGATAGCCAAAGCAGGAAGGATGGCAGGGGTGGGTGGATGGAGGAGAGAAACAAACTGCCTTGACTGTCAGAAATGCAGCTGAAGTTATGGCAAGTTGTTGTGAGCAGGTGCTAGCAACGGAGGTACCTAGGGCTGGTGTAAAGGTTTGTTCCCCCCTCACTCCACTGGTCTCAGAAACAGTGACTGGTCTAGGGCCACTCTGATTTTTTAAAGCAAAAAAGGGACTTGAACCAAATTCTCCCCAAGCCCAAGTTTCTAGGCACCTGGTTGTCCGCCCCCCCTCCCAAAATCAATGAGGTCTGGACGCAAAAATATGCATTTGCTTGATTGGGCATATTTTTAGAATCCACCTTATTCATATGGCATTTAGTTGTTTTCTATTGCCTTTAAATATTGTGTTTTAATTGTTGTAAGCTGCTTTGGGACCTTGGGGTAAAAGATGGATTGATGATGACGACAACGATAGGTGGAGAGCTTTACACGCCAAGTCGTCTGAATTAGTTGCTCCTAGTTTAATTATTTTAGATCAGGCTTCCTCAAACTCAGCCCTCCATATATTTTTTGCCTACAGTTCCCATGATCCCTAGCTAGCAGGACCAGTGGTCAGGGATGATGGGAATTATAGTCTCAAAACATCTGGAGGGCCAGGTTTGAGGACGCCTGTTTTAGATGATAAGCAACCAGGAGCTGCTTCCCCTTTTGTCCTAGCAGGGCTCCATGAATTCCCCCATGGAGCAAGCAATTTGCATTCTCACTCTCTCCTTGTACCAATTGCAAGAGCCATAAAATGTTGTCAGAAGTTTTCCCCCAATCCCTACTCTCTTGCCATCCAGCAACTTTCCCTGATAGTGTGTGGAGGCTCAATGATCCACAGATGGCTTTCACTCCCCAATTAGCAAGATAAGCAAGTTCTCTCAAGGGGGGCAACAGACCACACACCCCGCCAACTGGAAACCACTGCCCTAAATACCCCAGCCCAAGAGCCTTAGCTTTTGAAATTAGAGTCTGCCAGTCAGGGCCCCACCATCCCAGGCAAGGTGGGAAAAGGCCTGCAAGGTCTCCTAGGACCCACAGCCAAGACGGTTAAGCACTGTGGTCTAGCCAATTTAGATTTAAGGCCTCTATCATGTAACATACTCTTAATTCTCTTTTCTTGCAGCAGTGGCCACAATTGGTGTCCCAGTAGCACTGGGAGCAGCAGGCTTCACTGCAGCTGGAATTCTAACTGGCTCTCTGGCTGCAAAAATGATGTCGGCAGCGGCCATTGCCAATGGAGGAGGAGTAGCAGCTTGGAGCGCTGTTGCCGCGCTTCAGTCAGTCGGTATGTCTGCTGCTCTCAGGACAAGAACCACATGATTGGCAGAGCCAGTCTCCGCACCTTGAGATCTTCATCACAATAATGGTGTGCCTTAATCATCTTCTAGGTGCTGCTGGGCTGTCCACCGCTACCACAGCTGCAGTGACAGCTGGTGGAGCACTGCTGGCTGCCATCTTCACTTAAGAAGAAGACACACATACGCAGAGGCCATATCTACTTGGAAAAGCAGTACTTGGAAAATTATGCTTTGCCATCAAAGGCATAAATGACCTTCAGTAAAATGTGATTTTAATCAATGCTACGTTATTCCTACTGGCCGAGATATGCAACAACAAATAAAGCTTTGAGAATTCAACAAGTGTGTTAGCAAGAAAGCTGATTGGTGGCATCACACAACGCACATGTAAAATACTTGCTGTCCCATGAGGAAAAGATCCATGTTTTCCTTAGCAGGCTTTTGACTTCAGTGTTTTGTGCTGCACTGGGGGAAACTCCATTTCCCCTCTTTGCACAATTATGAGCTTCTTATTTGAGAATCCCATTCTGACTGGAGTCCAGACATGTACTGAGGCCCCCAGTAATAGAGCTCGGATTCACCTAGTGCAATTAACTGGCAGTATATTCAGAACCAATAGAGGAAAACACTCCTTTGCAAAGTTGTGACAGTCAATAGCTTTGAGGGGACATTAAAAAGTAATAATTGAGGATCAGACCAATTGATGGATGGCAGATATGGGACAGCTGCATATTGTTGGACTAGATGATCCTCAGGGTCCCTTCCAACTCTATGCTTCTATGACCCCAAGGGCCGTTGATGACTATTAATCACAATAGTTATTTGGACCATTGGGCAGGATAGAGTGGGAACAAGCATGGGACAGGCCTGCCTGTTAATCTTCACAAAACGTATATTGCCAGCATTCAAGGGTGGTCCTTCAGCACACACCACAAACTACAGTGGTACCTCGGGTTAAGTACTTAATTCGTTCCAGAGGTCCGTTCTTAACCTGAAACTGTTCTTAACCTGAAGCACCACTTTAGCTAATGGGGCCTCGCATTGCCGCTGTGCCACCACTGGACTATTTCTGTTCTCATCCTGAAGCAAAGTTCTTAACATGAGGTACTATTTCTGGGTTAGCGGAGTCTGTAACCTGAAGCATATGTAACCTGAAGTGTATGTAACCCAAGGTACCACTGTATTTGGAGAACTTTTGAACTTGGGTATGTGCTACTTAAAAGCAACAGTGTTAAATGGAAACACCAGGCAAAACTGGAACACCACTGGGACTGACAAACAGGAGACCTAGGGTTCTTCCAGGTGGTCAGTATTTTATGTGTGATTCCAGCACAATGTGCAACGTAAGGTCTATGTATTTAAGTGGATTAAACAACACTTCCCCTCGTGCAGGGATGTCAAATTGGGCTCTTTTTCCTTTGTGGGGGCAAAAGAGCATCCAGTCCCGCCCCCTTGCCCCGTCCTCCATTTGTGCACAATCGCTAGTACGGAAGACAGTTTTCGTCATGATCCTGAGCGCTCTTTTGGTAAGCGACTTTTACCTTTCCCCCCTAAAGTCAACAAGTTTAGCTTTCCTCCCTAAAAAAAAAGCTCAACAACTTTAACCTGAACCCCTCCAAAATGGGTAGATCACTGTCAGTTTTTTCTTCTGTAAGTAGATCGCAGTCTCTTGGGAGTTTGACGTCCCTGCCCTAGTGCAACGGATCCACTTTTTTTACTTCTGAAACTGAAATTGACCAATTACAGATAGGTAGCCGTGTTGGTCTGCCATAGTCAAAACAAAAAAATTCCTTCCAGTAGCACCTTAAAGACCAACTAAGTTAGTTCTTGGTATGAGCTTTCGTGTGCAAGCACACTTCTTCAGATACACTGAAACAGAAGTTGCCAGATCCTTCTATATAATTGAAATTGACCAATTCTATGAAGACTTACAACACCTTCTAGAAATGACACCAAAGAAGGATGTTCTTCTCATTATAGGGAATTGGAATCCTAAAGTAGGGGATAAAAGGAACAACTGGCAAGTTTGGCCTTGGAGATCAAAACGAAGCAGGGCAAAGGCTAATAGAGTTCTGTCAAGAGAACAAGCATAGACATCACCTTGCCAGCAAAGGTCCATATAGTTAAAGCTATGGTTTTTCCAGCAGTGATGTATGGAAGTGAGAGCTGGACCATAAAGAAGGCTGATCGCTGAAGAATTGATGCTTTTGAATTATGGTGTTGGAGGAGACTCTTGAGAGTCCCATGGACTGCAAGAAGATCAAACCTCTCCATTCTTAAGGAAATCAGCCCTGAGTGCTCACTGGAAGGACAGATCGTGAAGCTGAGGCTCCAATACTTTGGCCACCTCATGAGAAGAGAAGACTCCCTGGAAAAGACCCTGATGTTGGGAAAGATGGAGGGCACAAGGAGAAGGGGACGACAGAGGACGAGATGGTTGGATAGTGTTCTCAAAGCTACCAGCATGAGTTTGACCAAACTGCGGGAGGCAGTAGAAGACAGAAGTGCCTGGCGTGCTCTGGTCCATGGGGTCACAAAGAGTCGGACACGACTAAACAACAACAACACACTGCTGGCTGTGCAAGATAAGAAAAGAAAAAAGTAGGTTGCTAAGGGGATTGCATATGCCGATGCTGATAGCCAATTGAATCGTCATAAGTATTACTGCATATAGAGTTAACTGTATAAATTTTGTGAGCATGCCACAAATGCTGTACGTATAGGATTTGGAACTCGATTTCCCCATACTTTCTTCCTGCTGTCTGATTAAATCTTTCCTTCTCAATCCTGGTGTGATTAATGGCTCAGGTCACCCCACCATTGGACCTTTTGTCCGCAACACAGTTGTAAATAAAATGAAAATATTAAAAACATCCAAAAACTTAAGAAATGCTCTGAAAGCTAGTAATGTCTAGTTTACTGGAAGTAGTATCTTTCAGCCATCAAATCGGGTCAACAAACTTTTTCAGCAGGGGGCCGGTCTACTGTCCCTCAGACCTTGTGGGGGGCCGGACTATACTGGGGGGGGTGAACAAATTCCTATGCCCCACAAATAACCCAGAGATGCATTTTAAATAAAAGGACACATTCTACTTGTGTAAAAACACACTTGTTCCCAGACCATCTACGACCGGATTGAGAAGGCGATTGGGCTGGAGTTTGCCTACCCGTGCATCAAATGTATGGGTATGCAGGAATATTTTAAAACTCCTCCTGAAAGTTAATGGTGAAAAATATCACTCACCAAAATGTCACCACTTTGGAGTGACAAAGTCTCACCCAACCCCAAAAATGTGCCAGTAACACCCATGCTGACTGCAGATGATTTCTTTTTACTTGGTGTTGCCTGGGCTTCAGTTTTCTTCCAGAATCACAGTAATAATTGCTTCCATTACTGCAGTGGCGTAGCGTGGGTTGTCAGCACCCGGGGCAAGGCAAGTAATTTGCTCCCCCTAACCCGTGGATTTGCGCCCCCTAACCCCCAGATGTTGCGCCCGGTGCGGCCGGCCCCCCCTGCACCCCCCACGCTACGCCACTGCATTACTGTACCTTCTAGCATAATTACAAAGAGCCATCCCACCCCTTCACTGCCACATTTTTCCTCTTTCACACTCCCAGGATTTGTCTGAAGAATTTTGAATCCTTTCTGATACAAGTACGGAAATCTCATCATGACTCAGCTTTATCATTTCATTCCTCCCCGATATAGTTCCATTCATCTCCTGAAATTTTCCAGCTGCAATTAGTTACTGGATTGTCCTTTTAAAAAAAATGGTGGGGAGAAGTGTTTTAATAGGGTTCATTACCAGTATATGCTCAAAACACTTCATAGACTCAGTCCTTGTTTCATGGTTTTCACGTTCTCATGGTTCCTGATGAAAATGCTTAATTTGTGAATATTCCCATAGAGACGTAGCTCAGCCTATCTCTTCTTGCTCCTAGGCAAGCTACAAAAGGGAAAACTGAATCATTAAACTACAAGCCACGTGGTATCAATGCCACTTTCGTTTCCTCCCTTCCTCCTCAGAAGAGGGGGAAATAGAAACCTAAAGGTTTTGTGGGCTGGTCTCTGAGAATCACTTAAAAACTGGGGGGGGGGGGTGTTGCAACATGGAACGAGAGTCTAGGTACTGTTTCCATTGGCGGAGGATGCTGTCAATCACTATCCTCTCCCCAATATAGAAAACCTGGTGGAAGTAGCTGCAGATCTCCGAGGAGAGGCGTGGGTAAGTAACAGCTTCCAGCAGCGGTAACCAAAACAATCAAGGGAAATTGGTGACTAGATCAGTTCCTTCCCCAACTCAGCAATTGAGCAGAGATGTTTCTGTTTTGGAGAGCTGACTTCTCTTCATATGCAAGACCAAGTATCACACCCACCCCAATGTCTGTTTTCCAAGAATTTAGTAGATGTTAAGTTTGTTCGATATGTACAGATATGCAGTGTTTTCGGCAGGATATTGTAAAAGGAATTAAAGAATAACACTGGCCCCGTTTTTGCTGTTAGACAACTTTAAGGATGTTTTCAGAATAAAAGATCTAGCTGTAAAAGTATTGTTAATAGGATGCTTGCAATGTAAATACTGAATGCCATTTTTTAACAAAAACATTTTCATTTCAGAAAGGAAAATCTGGTAAGAGGTAACTTGTTTATATGGTTAGCGATGTATTAGCTTTATACAACACTTATAGGATGGATTGAAGCAAGGAGACCCTTTGGATAACCGGCAGCCACTTGTTAAATTTTTGGAACCAATTAAAGCTATATGGAAACATTAGGTGATGCCTTGCAGGGGACTGCAGGGCCAGCATAGGGGTCCTCAGGCCTTCGCTTTCTGTTGCCAAGACACCAGCTGAGGAGATGCTGATGCTGTGCAGAGTGAGCGGCAAGCTCATTGGGGGCAGCAGGAGCGGGGAGAAGGCAGAGAAAAAATCCTCATCCGCTGGCTGGGAGCTGCTGCCTGTGCAGAACGAGCGAGAGGTAAACAAAGAGAGGTGGGTGGTGTGGGGAGCAGGGCTTTGGGCCTGGCTGGGCCATCCCTGATTTAGACTTGAATCCCGTCATTCTGACGCAATCCAAACTGAAATGGAGGCTCCTCTCTTCCGTCTCGAAACTCCCCATTGTTTTGGCATGTTTTGCATCAGGGAATTTGTTTCCAGCAGCTTCTGAGCTCTGGGTGCAATACTGCGCCTCAGATTTCAGATTAAAACTGCCACTGCTGGAAGGAAAGGAGGACCTTTTTCTGCCTCCCCACTTCCAGCCACTCTCTGGAGATGGGCGAAGGGACCCTCATAAGAATATTAGCAGGGTGGGCAAAGGAAGCATGGCTTTGTGGTTTTTTTTTTTTTTGCAGTCTTCAGATGAGGACTAGACCATGTGAAAAATGAACACAAGATTTTAGCTGCGGTTCATTCATTTTCAGCTTTGTATTGTTATAAAAAACACACGCCTAGACATTCTGTTGCGGGGCCCATAACAAAGGTTTAAGATTCCATTTATGTAGCTCCTAGCTTTCATATCTCAGTTTCTAACACTGTTTGCAGTGTTATGTCTCCTGATAAAAAGGCAAGGAAAGTGACTTCTCATGCTTTCATATTTAGGTTATCTGTTTCTGGGTGAAAAACAAAACGCAGGGTGCAGCTTTTCCCAGCATGAGGATGCCTTGATGGGGAGAGCTGGCCTTCTGGCATTTCTGTCTGCCACACAGCTGTTACAGACAATCCTAGACACCACAAATAAAAGCAATATTCTTATCCTCCTCCTGAGCTTCTGGGTGTCCAGTGCTGCTGTCAGGCACTTTTATTTCCCCTTGATTCATACTCATGGTTATTTATTTGCATTTAAAAATCAAATCTTGGCTTTATGCTGTTTCTCAGCATTTATTCTTTGGGGCAGCTGCAGTTTTGCAGCTGCTGGTATATTTGCCTCTGAAAATGGAGGTGCTGCACGCATAAACACATCCCTCATACACCCCCCCCCCAGAAGAAAGAAAGATGAATCCTTTCTAGCTCTGCTTTGTCATGGGGCTACATGTTCTACAAAGGGAATGCTGAGATTTTAGGCACTACTTATTTAGTATTATTATTATTATTCATTTAACAATGCTTTTTTGGCACTTCAAAAAAATAATCCCTCTAAACTGTATACATAAAATTGTATGAAATAGTCATATAGCAATAATGACTTTATATAGCAATAAAAACAATATTGCTTTCAAACAGATGGAGATAAAATGGAGATAAAAGCAACAGATTTTAAAAACCAATGTACATAATAAAATTACCGTATTTTTCGCTCTATAACACGCACGTAGTTTTTAGAGGAGGAAAACAAGAAAAAAAATATTTTAAATGAAATAGTGGATATATGATTTTTGTGGTTCATGCTGTGGCCACAGACATGTGATCTGACAGTTTGGAGTAGCCCAATGCAAAAATCCTGAGGATCCATGTGAATCCATGCTTTGTAACCACGGAGGAGGGAAGGAAGGGGAACCATGGATCCTCTGCTCACGACTATAGCAGATCCCCCCGCCACCCGCAGGCATTCGCTCCATAACACGCACAGGCATTTCCCCTTAGTTTCTAGGAGGAAAAAAGTGAGTGTTATGGTGCAAAAAATACGGTACATGTCTGAGAAGGCTTTAAAAGAGTACACCTGTCTTTCACAGGGTATATGCCTATTTTCAAACTTTGGACTATCCCGTATTGTGCGTTGGGATTGCTACCATTCTTGTCGGTCCTTCTATACCTTTTAGCAGCAACCTGGCATGTAGGAATTATTCTTAATATTTTCCTGCCAGACAGATGACAGAGTTGGGAACCCTTTTCCCAGCACTTTGTCGGTTTGTAGCCTGACAAACTACAATTTCCAGGATTCCTGAGGGGACAACATCATTTTCTGATTCATCTCAGGCACCAAAATGTCTTGAGCCGGCCTTGGTGCTGAGAGTTCTTAATTAACTCTCTTAAAAAACTACAATACCCTGACTTAACTGGGAAGAGGGATTGGTAGTTAAACCACCAGAGTCCACTTTGTCAGATGTATAGAATTACAGTGGTACCTTGGTTGAAGAACAGCTTAGTTTATGAACAACTTAGATTAAGAACGCTGCAAACCCGGAAGTAGGTGTTTTGGTTTGTGAACTTTGCCTTGGAATAAGAACATGTTCCGCTTCCTGTTGAGTGTGTTCCATTTGTAAATTGAGTCCCCTGCTGCTATGGGAAAGAACGCTTTGGTTTAAGAACGGACTTCCAGAGCAGATTAAGTTCGTAAACCTAGGTACCACTGTATCCTAAATAGACAGTGTCCAGTTATCACAGTGGCCATCCAAATGCATCTGGAAAACCCTCAAGCGCAAGAGCACCCTCTTCCCTCCTGTGGTTTCAGACAACTACTATTCAGAAGCATTGCTGCCATCGTGGCTAGTAGACATTGATAGCCTTATCCTCCATGAATTTGTCCCGTCCTCTTTTAAATTCACCCAAATTGGTGGCCATCACTGCCTCCTGTGCGATCAAGTTCCATAGTTTAACACACAATTGTACACTGCATTAGCCTAACTGAGTTTCTGGCGTCTCTCTTCAGGTCTCTTAAAGCCAACATGGTGGGCGTTCCAGGTAAGAGAGCCTATTTACTTTCTTAGCGATTGGGTAACTTGTCACCTTCCAGTCTTCTCGAACTCTTCTCAGTCAGGGACATGGGGTTCTCCTCACCTCTGCCCCCACTCAGCCTAGGTTAAAATTAGAAGCACACTTCACTATTGGACTGCGTCCAGACTATGGCACTAACATGTACATACACAGGCTACTGTTTCTGAGTGTGTATTTGTGCGCCTTCATCCGCATACAAGTGCTTTTGAGTTTATGCTTCCCAAATCTATCTTGATGTTTCCCATCCACACCAGTAGGCCGTACTTGGTTAAATGTGTGTGTTGTCTCACACCTCAACTAGAATTTCCCTGTTCCTGAAACTGGAGGTCTCTTGTGGGCATGAATATACATTTACCTGGGTCCAGCACCTTCTCGTAATACAAGTTGTCTTGACTTTGTTAAATTTAGGGCTAAATCATTATGCCGCTTAATCATTAGCATTGCTAAGCAATTCTTTTTTAAAAAGAGACCACACAGAGAAGATAAAAAGTCATCAGAAAACTGAAATGATGTTTCCAGGCAAGCTACCTTGAAATGCTAATGATGTATTTTAAAATTTTGTACAACTTTGAGAAATCAGCATTAAAATGGTGAGGAAATTTTCATGAGGATTTGTTTGTATTTGCTTTTAAATCAAGCTGATATGGAAATGTGAACTGAACCTAAGACTGGAAAACATGAGGAACAGAAAGTAACTGAAACTGACAAATATGCCCATCACAGTTGTAGCTCACCTGATGCTTTTTTGCATTTTACAGTCATACCTCTGGTTGCAAACGTGATCCATGCGGGAGGCACGGTCGCAACCCGCAGTGCTCATAGCCTGAAGCACCGTGTCTGCGCACATGCATGATGCAATCTGGAGCTTCTGCACATGCGTGTGACATTATTTTGTGCTTCTGCACATGCACAAGTGCCGAAACCTGGAAGTAACCTGTTCTGGTACTTCCAGGTTCTGCGCGGTCTGCAACCCGAAAACGCACAACTCGCAGCGTTCGTAACCCAAGGTATGACTATATGTACTTGAGATCCATTATATCTTATTAAAATAAGTCTCTCTTTCAGTAATTGCAGCTTTGGGAGGTGCAGCCGGCTTGGGTAAGTCTTCAGTAATATGGATTTCCAGTTGGGCAAATTTTGGTGATTATCTTGCTTGCAGCAGCATGAATGAAGCTTGCAAGTCATTGGAAATGGTGGAGTTCACAATGAAAGTCTGGCTTGATGAGATCTGTGAAATGGCTTTGACAGAACACCTGGCATATCAAAACAGAATAACTGAAGGGATAGCCAATACCACTAAATTTAACAAAATTTGGGTGCCCTTTCTGCATTAAGCAAGTATCTATATATTGTAGTAGTCCCACGCTGTGCACCCTATGGAGCCTTGTGTTTAGAGGGAGGTCAACACAAGGTAGAGGCTGTCGCCTGGGCGAGATTTCTTCTATCTTGGTTAAACATCTGCCTTACATCAGATAAAGATCCTCTCCTCAGCGATATTTTATTAGATCCCTTTCTTTCTTCAGGGCTACAACAGTTTAACAAGAAGGTACTGTAACTCAGGCTGTCAGTGGAACTTTTGCGGTCGGTGTCCCTACCATTTTCCAAGGCTGTATTAAAAACTAGGTTGTGGGATATTGAACGCCAAGAACTAACAGCAGCAGCAGCAGAGGAAACATGTTTCCCTCTTTATTTTCAACTTTCTTGGGCACATGAAACTAACCACAATTACCTTGAATTTCTGCTTAACCCTCAAGAAAAAGGGCATTCCCAATGGCCAGGTTTAATTCAAATCCATCAAACCTCAGGCAGCGGAAGGTTCTCAGTTAGGGTGGAAGGAGAAAAAACTTGCCCATGTGAAGATCACCTGGTGGAAACCCTTACACACATGGTTCTTCATTGTAAACTATATGCTGATCTCCTTTAGCAATTTCTAGATCAACTCTGTATCCCCAAATGGAAACCAGAGTTGGAGTTCATACATTTTCTTTTACTGAGGAATGATCAAGAGCTCACCAAGTTAGTGGCTAAATATATCTATTTGGTTTTTTGTCATTGAAATACACTGCAGACGTCTGATCTCCCTGGAGACCTAGAGATGTGATGATAGTCTGCTCTGCCTCCTTTCTTTTAGCAAATGTTTTGTGCCACTGGGGACGTGTTAATTCTGTATTGATTTGTTTTGGATGTTTGTATGTGATGCCAATAAAAGGTTTGATGATGATGGATTATAGTCAGTTCCCCTACTTCTATCATGTAACATATACCTTATTCTGTGTTCTTGCAGCAGTGGCCACGATTGCTGTCCCAGTAGCACTGGGAGCAACAGGCTTCACTGGAGCTGGAATTGCAGCTGGCTCTCTGGCTGCAAAAATGATGTCGGCAGCGGCCATCGCCAATGGTGGAGGAGTAGCAGCTGGGAGCGCTGTTGCCGCACTTCAGTCAGTCGGTATGTCTGCTGCTCTCAGGACAAGAACCACATGATTGGCAGAGCCAGTCTCCGCACCTTGAGCTCTTCATCACAATAATTGTGTGTCTTGGTCATCTTCTAGGTGCTGCTGGGCTGTCCACTGCTACCACAGCTGCAGTGACAGCTGGTGGAGCACTGCTGGCTGCCATCTTCCCTTAAGAAGAAGACACACATACACAGAGGCCATAGCTACTTGGAAAAGCAGTACTTGGAAGATTATGCTTTGCCGTCAACGGCATAACTTCCCTTAAGCAAAATGTGATTTTAATCAATGCTACGTTATTCCTACTGGCCGAGATATGCAACAACAAATAAAGCTTTGAGAATTCAACAAGTGTGTTAGCAAGAAAGCTGATTGGTGGCATCACACAACGCACATGTAAAATACTTGCTGTCCCATGAGGAAAAGATCCATGTTTTCCTTAGCAGGCTTTTGACTTCAGTGTTTTCTGCTGCACTGGGGAAAACTCCATTTCCCCTCTTTGCACAATTATGAGCTTCTTAGTTGAGAATCCCATTCTGACTGGAGTCCATTCTGAGGCCCCCAGTAATAGAGCTTGGATTCACCTAGTGCAATTAACTGGCAGTTGATTCAGAACCAATAGAGGAAAACACTCCTTTGAAAAGTTGTGATAGTCAATAGCTTTGAGGGGACATTAAAAAGTAATAATTGAGGATCAGACCAATTGATGGATGGCAGATATGGGATAGCTGCATATTCCTGCATTGCAGGGGTTGGACTAGATGATCCTCAGGGTCCCTTCCAACTCTATGCTTCTATGACCCCAAGGGCCATTGATTACTAGTAATCACAATAGTTATTTGGAACATTGGGCAGAATAGAGTGGGAACAAACATGGGACAGGCCTGCCTGTTAAGCATTCAAGGACGGTCTTTCAGCACTTACCACAAACTGTTTGGAGAACTTTTGAACTTGGGGTATGTGCTACTTAAAAGCAGCAATGTTAAATGGAAACACCAGACAGAATTGGAACACCACTGGAAATGACAAACAGGGGACCTAGGGTTCTTCCAGATGGTCAGTATTTTATGTGAGTGATTCCAGCACAAACTGGAACCTGGGGTCAATGCATTTAAACAACTCTCTTCCCCTAGTGCAACAAATCCACATTTATCTTTTAATAACTTGTAGTTTGAAGAGTGACGGGGGCATGCACTGAAAGATGTGGATGAATGACGAATGGGAATACATGTAAACAACCTGCAAGCAAATCAAGAAGAATGCTGATAGAACTGCCCCATAAACAAATTAGAATTAATGCTCATTAAAGACTAGACAAAGGGCTTATCCACACTTACTTTTTGCCCTGCTCTTTACAGGCACGTGTCATATATCATAGTTTGAAGGGACCCTAGGATCATCCTAGTCCAACCTCCTGCAATGCAGGGCTATGCAGCTGTCCCTTACAGGGATCAAACCTGCAACCTTGGAGTTCTTAGCACCACACACTAACCAACTGAATTCCGTGCCTTACAGTTCTGAGCGCTCTCCTTCGCCCAGAGCTTTCCCTGTGAAAACCTGCTCTTTAAAGCTGAAGCACAACAAGCAGCTTCATACCAATTGGGTTAGCCATTGCTAATTCATTACTAGCCAAGGTTCATTTTGCACAGGGGAGACACCCTTGAAAGCCCCCTGGTGTGTACACAAACAGAATTGAATCTGACACTGATGAAGCTGTGCTGAACAGCTAGCGGTGGGGCGGGGAGGAAGAGCTGTGAAAGGAACACATACCAGAGGCTTACTAAGGGCAATGGGCTAGCAGACTAGCAATCAGCAACCCTGAGCTGCAGACAGCAAAGTACAGTCAGCCACTGATTACTGTATCTGCAGGGAACAAGGTCAGTCCCAGGAATGCGGAGCAAAGTTATCTCAGTGGGTCGAATGCACAGCTCTGCAGCAGCTTGGCTTAAATCCCTCCATAAAGCAGCACCAGTCTTGTAAACATGAAAACACATGCACAGGCATGGCATCCGGTGTAGAAAAATGCACCCCAGATAAAACTGAAAAAACAAAAGTACCATAGGTTGTGCTGCCATCTGAAGTTCAGAACTGGACGTGCTTTTGCCACTCACTTTGGTAGACTGAAATAAGAGCAGAAACAAGTATTTAAAGAAATTGAAGCTATAACCAATCCTAAGCTTCCTTGTATGTATGGTGCATATACACACCATACATTTAAAGCACATTTCCCCCATTTTCAAAGAAACCTGGAAACTTGTTAAGGATATGGAGGAAGCTGCCTCCCGCTGACCTAACCATTGATCCATCTAGCTCAATATTCCCTACACTGACTGGCAGCAGCTCTCCAGGGTTTCAGGCAGGAGTCTCTCCTACCCCACCTGGAGATGCTGAGGATTGAATCTGGGACCTTCTGAATGCAAAGCAAATACGCTACAACTGGTCTACAGCCCTTCCAAATTCCCAGGGTGCTGGGAATCGTAGCTCTGTGAGGAATGAACTAGTTGCCATGCCTCTTTGCCAGGGGGTATGCGCTTTAAATGTAAGTTGTGTACAGTGGTGCCCCGCAAGACGAATGCCTCGCAAGACGGAAAACCCGCTAGATGAAAGGGTTTTCCATTTTGAGCTGCTTCACAAGACGATTTTCCCTATAGGCTTGCTTTGCAAGACGAAAACGTCTTGCAAGTGTTCCAATTTTTTTTCGCTCCCCCCCCTTTTTCTAAGCCGCTAATAGCCTTTTAGCCGCTAAGCCTTTAATAGCCGCTAAGCCTTTAATAGCTGCTAAACCGCTAATAGCGCCAAGCCGCTAATAGGGTTGCTTCGCAAGACGAAAAAAGACTCGCGGAACGGATTAATTTCGTCTTGCGAAGCACCACTGTATATTGTCAGAGAAACAAAAGGAATGCTAAGATTCCTCTAAAACACGGTTTGAAAACTGCTGCACTTTTTGGGAAGTATACTGTTATCCTATTGGATTTGTTTTGTGTTATGTAACTTGCACCATAAAAAAACTTTCAGTGAAAATGTATTTTTTAAGGCACTGCATTCCAAACATAATTAGCAGCAAGAGCAGGACGTTAAAGGTTTGAAAAACAAGCGCATTGTAGCTGGCAGCATCATATTTCAGAAGCATAATGGCATGTGGAGACTTGTGATAACGCCATCTGGTTGAAGGTTTTTTAAATATACACAAGCCAAACATTAGCTAGGCTTCTACTCCAAAGTGCTTTATTCACTTGACTCATTACCTGTATACCTTTGGCACAATACCTTTATGTGATGTACTAGCAACACTTTTATGTATCTGCTACGAAGTGATTGTAGCCATAGAATCACTAATCATTACATTGGCCTCAGCACTGAGTACCTTGCTTGTAGTTTTCTCCACCATCTTTCTATTTCCACTGGCAAGCCTCAGAAACACACTGTCCTAAGATATCATTGCATGAATTACCGCTCAGGCTGCAGGCTTTACTGGACAGTGCTTTACGTGTGAAAGAATCAAAAGTGGTTACAGACAGGCAAAGTGCTTCTCAGGATATGCAGAGTATTGCTCCAACAGAAAATGTCTTGTCTTCCATTTACCAATGAGGGCATTTTCCTGATTTATTTTATTTTTTAGTAAATCAGTGAAAGCACAGGCACAGTGTCTCTGAGCAGTGTGTATTTACCATACAGGGGATCCAAGTTAGTTTGTACCAACGTCCTGAAACCAGAGGGCCATGGGCATACCCAGGATTTTTTTTGGGGGGGCAGACTTTTGTTGGGAGGGGCAGGGGATTTGTATTTCTTTTTATTTATTTAGGCAGGCATCTGCCCCCGCTAGGCCCATGCAGAGGGCTTATGAGCATTATGTGAAGAGTGAACCTCTAAAGGTCACCTTTCATAAAATGCAACCTACAAAAAGGTTTACAAAAGATTACGAAAATATTTTTTTCGTAGAAATATATCCTTGAAAGGTTTTGTGTCCTGCAAGGTAGTGCCCAGATGAATGAAAGCCTGGCCAACGGCCAATAGCAACCTTCTCACCCCGACCCCCGAAGACACCAACACAGCGGGCGCCTTAAACGCGGGGAAATGAGCCCCTCGCTTCCACAGTCTTGCGACTACTTCTACAGATACGCATGCGTACTCCGCGAGCACCCGCTTGAATAAGAAATGACGAGGCCTCAAAGAGAAGGAAATGGGTGGAGCTGGGAGGGGAACGCGAGAAACTTCGGCGCCTGCGCATACGGCCCCGCGAGGGGCAGACGGCCGGCGAAAGTTCTCCGGCGCCTGCGCGCTCGCACTCCCTCCGCTCCTATTGTGAGCGAGCGCCAGTCTTGCCGCCCCGCGCGGCTCGAGTCTCGCGAGAGGTCAGCACAAGGCGGTTGGCCTGAGGCGCTTTCTGCTCGTGTCTCTTTCGTCAGGAGGGTCGCTTCGCCGACCTCCCTTCGCGTTCTGCCTCGCTCTCCCTTCGAGCCAGTCGCCTCCGGACGAGCCATGTCTCGCTACCTGCGGCCTCCCAACACCTCGCTCTTCGTGCGGAACGTGGCCGATGACACCAGGTGTGTGTAAGTGAGGCGGGGGGTGGAGAGGGCATGGCAGCCGCCTGGCTGGGCCTGCTGGCGGAGGCGCGGAGAAAGAGAGAGAGAGAGGAGCCCCCTCCCCCCCCCGCCGCCATTAGCTCTCTTGATTCTTCCCGTTCCCCATAGGCATTATGCAGAATGCGCCAGGCCTCAGTTTAAGCCGGGGGAAAGCTCGCGGCGGAGGTCTTCGCGAGCCGCCTTCCCGCCATTTGTCTTCTCTTCGCGCTTCTTGTGTGCTCTTCGTCGGGCCTCTGCACACCATGCCCCTAGTTTCACGTCCCAGTTCAGCGCGTTTGTTCCGTGGCGCTTAACCGCCAATGTCGTTCTGAGGTCTCAGCACGCGGGTTCCCTAGGAGTAAGCGCCGCTGAACTTCTGTGTGTTGTTCTCAAGCTTTCCCTTTTGGAGCCAAACGTTACTTGGCAAAACACAATAAGAAAATAGGCATTTAGGCTCCGCTCTTCAGCCGGAACAGTCCCCCGAGTAGCTTACAAATTAATGTTAAAAACCCTATCGCAGCAGCGTTTATTTTCAAAGACTTCTTTTTCTCCTCTCCCCCCCCCGCCGCGCGCGCTTCTTGTCCTTTTTCTTCTCTTGTCCTCTTTTGTCTCTTTCGTTTTCCCTCTTTATATTGTTTCATCCCCACCTGAATCTCGTCTACCTTTTTTTTCTATTCATGGCACCATCTAATTTCTGTTTGGAATTTATCCTCGTTAGATGGTTTTGCCTATATTTTCAACCAGCTGCGATGGCTATACTCTGTCTCTGAGGAAGTATCCTTCTGAATACCCATTTCTGGAAAATAAGGAAGGGAGAGTACTTTGTGGTTAAATCCAGCTTGAGGGTTTTCTACAGGCATCTGGTTGGTCCCTGAGAACTAATTGCCGGACTAGGCAGGCAATTGGCCTGATCTAGTGGGATGTTATGTTTTAATTACTTCTCTAATCCAAATCTACAGTTTTTTAGGTTTTCAGTTTCCGTTTCCTTCAGTATCTAAAGTACATTGTTTCAATAGGCCTTAACACAACTCTAAAGTATTTTACAGTTAGCAGTTCATAGCTCCTGGCGATGGTGGATGTGCTCCTTTGCTTTTTTTATCCGCTATTATTCTGTAATAATTCCTAAAAGTCTTGACGGACACTTTAGCATAGATTTTTTTTTAAAAAAAGCTTGAAAATATTTTCATCTAATTGATACACTTTAATAATGATTTGATATACTTGTATTTGGGAATGGACTGTTACCACAAAATGCTAAGAAAAAAGTCTTCAGTCCCACATTAAAGTAAGTTCTACTATGTTCAGTGGGTTATATTCCCTGTTGAGTTAGCATGGAATTTGTAGCCTTAGGGTTGTATCCAACATGAATCCCACTCAAAGTTAAGCCATTGATATTATTGGACAGTGGACATAAGCTAAAATAGGTCTATCAATTTCAGTGGCTCTAAGCCTAACTTAGTTGGATAGATCCCTTAGGGTTGTATCCAACATTACTGTTCCATTTGCACACAAAAACTCCTCTCCAAAGCAGATTTTGGGGACACGTGCAAATAGTGGCTTGGCAATTGTCTCTTAAGTATGTGTTCATGTAGCCTGTTTCTTCTCAGCTTGCTTTGATTATATTAGTAAAGACATTCAAATGGTCAGTGTTCTGTTTCAGGTCTGAAGATTTACGTCGTGAATTTGGTCGTTACGGTCCGATAGTAGATGTGTATGTACCTCTGGATTTCTACACTCGCCGTCCAAGAGGATTCGCTTATGTTCAATATCCTTTCTTCAGATGGCTGATTAGTGAGGGGTGTTGAAGTTTGAAATTCACGTTTGTGTATGAGGTAACAACCCTAAATGAAAAAGCTGTTTTCTTCTGTGTTGTATATAATGTCATTGTAGTGTGCTCCATTTCCCTCACAGATGACTATGTTGCAAAATTTCTATAAGTTAAAATTTAAATTGCATCAAGTAAAATGTTGCTTTGTTATTGCAAGCTTCATATACAGATTTGTGCTTTTAACATTGAAATGGCCTTTGCTGCTGCCTCCAAGTGTATTGTTGCAGTTTTATATCACTGGCATTGATAAACTTGTTCTTGTGCTTAGCAAAATGTGGCTGATATTTTATTGTTTAACTTCATGGAAACTGGAATAATTTGATCAAAAGCAGATTTGTATAAAAATGAGGTGAAAAGTTTTGCTCTGATTATTGTCCCCTAATTTACTGTCCTCTGTTGTTGCCTCAGAGTGTAAAGCTGTACAGTAATGGCGACCCCAAAGAGAAAGCATGAAAGAACCTTTAGAGTAGAGTTCAAGAATTAAGGCAAGTAGACAAGCCAAAGACCTCTTAAGGATCAGGCTTGAAAGAGAAGGGAAAGTTTGGGAAAAGAAAAGATAAAGAAAAAGCTGGAAGAAGGACAAGCCATAATGGGAGACAAAGCTTCGCTTTATCTGCAAATGGGGGAAAAGGTTGTTTTTCAAAGTATAAAGATAAAGCCATCTGTCACTTTTGACCAAGCATCTCATGACAAGTCCTTCTGACAAGCACTTAAAGAGTTAAAGGTCAAGATGAAGTTGACTGGTGGCCAAGATAAAAGGAGCCAAACCTGATGTATCCTACAGAATAAGAGCTGTCCTCTGGCTGCTTGTGTAAGTGATTAACCAATCAATTTTTCTGGTTTAGTCTAGCTGTGGGCCCTGTAATAATTTGCTTTACTTTGGAAGTATCTTCTGAAATTATGGTTCTCAGTGAAATGCAATCACTCATTATTTGAGATGAGTATACCTGTAATAGGGTGAAATTTGGCTTCTGAGGATTTGGTATATGAACATATAGGGACAACCTGTTTAGGCTACTTAGAGGTATGCAGGATATGGGTTATTACATTATATAATAAAATTTGGTATAATTTCATGCTTTAAAACCTTAGTACAGTGGTACCTCAGGTTACAGACGCTTCAGGTTATGCGATTTTGGGTTGCGCACCGCGCTGAACCCAGAAGTACCGGGAACTGGTTACTTTAGGCGCAGAAGCGCCAAATTGCAACGTGCGCAGACGCGGCGCTGCGGGTTGCAAATGTGCCTCCCTCACGGATCACGTTTGCAACCCGAGGTTCCACTGTATAAGAATCTAGGAAACATCTAGTACTAGTTTCATCAGCAAAAAGCAACATTTTGATGTCTTCTAATGAGTCTCTGCTGAGGGAAGCAAAACAGATTTTCAGAGAAGCTATATTAGAAATACCCATATAGACAACTATAGAAACGATTATTTTAAACTGAAATTTGTCTTTTGTCTCAAATAGATATTGTTAATGTCAGCTAATTTTTGTTATGCCATAGAACATGCCAAAAAATGAGGACAAGTTGGTAAACAAGGGTGTGTGATGACATTATGGGAAGCCAAAGCTTGCTAACTGTGTAGCTGTAAATACATCAAAATTCCCAAGTACCTTAACATCTAGCACATTTGAAGATGTCCGTGATGCTGAAGATGCCCTTCATAATTTGGACCGGAAGTGGATTTGTGGCGCGCCAAATAGAAATCCAGTTTGCTCAAGGAGATCGTTAAAAGTATGTATGCTGTCTTAACAATTGTGTAGTGTAAAACATAAAGCCTAATACTCAGGGCTATGTATTAAATGTGTTGTCCAGACTTGTCAGAAGAAGACAAAAACTGGTGCGGGTTTAGCACTGTGAAATAAATAAATTTAGAATATTTAAAGCATTTCTGTCCCAATCTTCACCAACAAGGCTCCAGAATGGCTTGTGAATGGTACAGTAAATATAAACAAGACCACTTTGAGGGTGTTTTCTACAAGCGGTATATAATTTCATGAAATACATAAATAAGACCCACAAGCTTACACTAAATAAATAAAAATGACACAAAGGGAAAGGGACATGGAGGAAAGCAGAAGAGCACTGTTTTAAGCACCTATTCCTAAACAGTTGTTAATGACTAGATGGCACAGTTTCAGGGTTCTGTTAGGGAATTTTTTAATGTTTGATGTTTATGTGTTTTTAAATACTCTGTTGGGAGCCAGCCAGCATGGCTAGAAGCAACTCAGTCAGATGGGCGGACATACAAATAATAGAATTATATATTAAATATTATGGAAACCCTGATTGAGCTAGGCATTCAGCAAAGTGGATGGACTAAACCCTGCTTCCTATCCATTCCACTGAGACAGTCTGATGGAATGTCTGTTCCCAGGGAGAGGAGGCCAGATGGAGTTGGGTCTTTCACAACAGCTGATGGAGTGAGTGCTACTTGCCATTTTTAAGGTTCTAACGTGTATGATTGGAGGCAAGGAGAAAATCCTGGAAGCAAAGCTAGTGGGTTGGATCCAATATCAGCAATACTCAAAAGTAGACCTATTGAAGTTAATAGAACTAACTTAGTATCGGCCCAAGTCTGATAGTCCAACTCTTCCTCATTTGTCAAGAAGAGTGCAGATCATAAACTAGAATGGTGGATGCCGAATAAAGGATGCAAAGTTGATTTGCATATTTTTCTGATAATTTCTGCACGGTGCATGTGTATTTCAGCTAGAAAATATATTCATATAAACATCTTGTATTTGAGTGTGCATACAATAACTTACTGTAATTGAGTACTATAGAAAGGTTTTGCTGTTGATTATGGATGGGAAACATTTGGCCCTCCATATATCTTAAAATAAACTGAAATGACAGGACAGTATGTTTTTTAAATTGTTCCATTTCAGAGATGAAGATCCTTTGGTGGTGGGAAGTCATTTCAGGGGTCTGTTACTTAATGATTAACATGTATTGCATTTACAAACATCAACTGAGAATTTTTATTGTAACGTTAAAAAATTGCTGTTCTGTTCTTCTGTAGCACCAAACCAAATGAAAGCCAAGGAAGGAAGAAATGTATACAGCTCTTCCCGTTACGATGACTATGACAGATACAGACGTTCTAGAAGCCGCAGTTACGAAAGGAGGAGGTCAAGAAGCCGCTCTTTTGACTACAGCTATCGCAGATCTTATAGTCCTAGAAAGTAAGTGTTGTACTTGGATTGACCTATGCTGCCATGTAATGGAGAAGAGAGATCATATTGACTGTTTGACACTTCTAGATATCAAGTCACCTTTGTAATAACATGCATGGAAGTTGTTGTACCTTGCATGGACCATCCAAAAGTCTGTGCATCACTGAAGAAAAATGAAAAACAAATGCAACTCTCAAGAAACTTAACGTAGTTGGGTGTGTGTGTGAATAATTTTAAAGGTATATGCCACTGTTTACTTTTTCTGATGTACCTTTTTTAGCAGTAGACCTGCTGGGAAGACGTCGACCGTAGCAGAAGTCGTTCAGAATAATGATAGGTAAACATTCTTTTATATAACAAATTCAAAATCAGACTAGTCTGTGCCTGCAAGAGTAAGCTATTTTGATGTGAGATACCCAACTCCTAGCAACTTGTCCATATTCAAATGTATTATCTTCCTCTTTCTGATAGGTTCAGGACACCGTAACAGATCTTTTTCAAGGTCAAAGTCCAATTCAAGATCACGATCTAAATCACCCAAAAAAGAAATGAAGGCTAAATCACGTTCTAGATCTGCAATCTCGCACTAAATCTAGAGGCACCTCTAAAACGGATTCTAAAACACAATATAAATCCAGCTCAAGATATGAAAAAGAATCAAGGAAAAAAGAACCAGCTAGATCCAAATCTCAGTCGAGATCGCATTCTAGATCTAGATCAAAATCAGATCCAGGTCATGGGGCTTAGTCCCAAGTCCAGTGGCCACTAACAATGTTACCTTGTTTTTTAGGCATGTATTATCCAGTTACACAGTTGAGTTATGATGTTGCAACATTGCATAAAATAACTTTCGTCAGTTATTCCTGTTAGCAGACAATTAATACTATTTAAAACACAATATTGAGAATCTTTATACAAAAGAGTCCACTTTGTTAAATGTCATGGGCAGCCTACTGAGGTTCTTGTGGTGTTTCTATGTATATTTTTGTAAAAGACTTTGCATTTTTTATGCTTCAAATATCAATGGCACATTGATTATGACAGTAGTTTACAGCTTGTCCTAATGAACTCACCCACAAACAATAACTGTTTGATGTATATTTAAATTGTCCAATAATCCCTGCAGCACAGTTGGAAAACTGCGCAGTTGTGATGCACTAGTAACTGCTGTGAAATCAGAAATTAGTACTTTGACATTTGAGAGGGAGGGGATTTGCATTTTTCTTTACCCACCATTGTCGCCAAGGTGGGCTCGTTCCTAGGGCATTGTGGAAAAATAGTATTGAAGATTCTCGATTGATACACATCTAAAGGAATGGTTCCTTATGTAACAATAGTAAAAAGGAGATAAAAACAGCCATGAACTGGTTGTGGGATTTTTGTCAAGGTTCCAGGTACTTATTTTGCCGGCTACTATATTGGGACACCTAAAATATTTTAGTTACATAATTAGGTGATATGTGTATACATTATATCCAGTGTATTGTTATCTAGTGAACAGTTGACCTCTAAATTGCCATAGGTTACTTGCTGTAAAACTGGCAAAGAAAACATCTCAGATTAAATGTGTACCGATATGTAAGAATGAATATTTTTTGCCAATGACTTCATAGGTAGCTGTGTATCCATAAGAAACCAATTTCTAGTCTCCTATCTTTAATAATATAATTGACAGTTTTTGAGTTTACATGTCAGAACCTACATCACAGTAGGTTAAACTTAGTCCGTTTAGCCCCAGAAGGTGATTATAAATTGTGCTCAACTTGCAATGTAGCAATTCCAGTTCCAGTATAGTTTATCATAATGTGAGCTTCTTCATCCCTATGAAGAAGAGTTGCATCCTACTTTTGGTTTGTTGTAATACAGTATCAGAACTGAACATGAACAGTTGCATGGCATAATCTCAAAGTATTCTCTGCAGAGAGCTCTCTTGTATTACAAACCATAGCTTTTTAAATTCAAATGTGAAAAGCCAGTAATCAAACACTTAAAGACCCTCCACTTATGCTGGTAGGATAATTGAATGTTGATGAATTGTTTTGTTTTCAATTTTAGTTCTAACCGGCCACTCTAAATAAAGCTGGCTTTTTAAAATTCTGGCTGTGGGAATGTTTAAGAGGTGATTCTAGAACCTTTGTATATATTGATAGTATTTCTAACTTTCATTACTGTTTAAAAGTTAACGTTCTGCTATGCAATCATTTATATTCTGCGTTCCTTTAATTTTGTAGACTTTCCCCTGATGTATAGCTTTAAAAACAAAGGTGTAAAATGGTAGCGTTACTGTGCAGCTCTGGTCAGATGAAAGTTGTGGAAATAAACTTTGTATTTCCTTTCTTATAGAGGCTTCTAAAAGGGTATTTTTATATGTTCTTTTTAAAATATTGTGTACTACTTTAAAACATCAATGTTTTGCTCAAGGAAGACCCAGCTTATTATCTGCTGTAAATTTAGCAAACATGCTGTAATAAAAGGATCCAGTGATTCTGCATTGTAATCTTAACCTGTTCCAAACACTGTTTAAAATGTATTGGTTTGTGGCTGAGGGATAAAATTTATATCAGTATTGAGTAAAAATGGGTACTAAGTTGTATTGCTCAAGACATTACCAATGATGTATTTCCAACTATGATTGGAAGGTTGGTCAACAAAATAAGGTAATTCTTTGTTGGGATAGTTTGGTGTAGGTATTTATATAGGATTGCATTTGACCAGTTTAAAAAACAAAATATTGGTCAAATCAAGTAGCTAAAAAAAGCCTTCAGATTGTAGTGCTCACTGTAGAACTCCTGGTTCCTAGAAAGTTCCTGTTCTCCCTAGCACAGTCCTGGGTTATATGAAGTCATTCATCGTCCTGTTGCAATAACTGACCCTATGATAGTCACCATTGTGGCACATAAAGCTGCCGGATTCCTTTTCTAAGAAAAGAAAGTTTTCTTGACCCAAACTTTGTTCTCTGACTACACTTTCTGCAAAGTATCCTTGATGCAATGACAGGCAGTCCTTTGAGACAATCATGCCAAATGCATCCTGCACAAACCTCCATATTCATAGTCTTAGGGGCTCGTTCTGCATTTATATTCAGTGTACATATGTATTACACTAGAGATGCTATCTTTACATCCATGCCATACCTTAGTTCAGATGTGCACTGGGACTACTATATGACAGAAGCTTCCTGGAAAATTAAAGAATGGTTGGCTACTACAACAGGGTTGTGTGCTTTTCCAGTGCTGCATTTGTGGGTACAGGGAGCAGGGAATCCCTCAACCATGTAACTGCTACAAGATACCATGATGCAAGTAAGAGGTTGGGTATAGGGATGATTTTGGAGGGTCAGGTATCCTAAAACAGATACAGTCCTATGAATTCCTATCATTTCCCACTGGCTACATACCACACAAGAAGTGAGTTACAGTTCTTTCATTATTCCTTTTCAAATGAAGTTAATACATTATAATTCTAAAAGCCAGTATTGCTCATTGCTCACCCTTCCAAATTCCCCATGTGTCTACACTGTAAGCTAAATAACCACTAGTCTTATGGCAGACAAGTGTTTCAACTTCTTATTTGGCCATAACAATCACTTTAGGTTTGGTTGATTTGTAAGTGTGACCAAGTGATTTAATCTTGCAGCTTACAGTACATTTAAAGTGTGTAGAACACCCACACCCCGGAAAAGGGAAAGTTTGTGTAAAAGTAATGTCAACACATTATTAGGGGAGAGAAAACATTACAATTTTTTATTTAAATTTTGTTTCTAATTAAAATTCAAGCAGTACTTCAAACATGAAATTTAGATCAGAATTACATTTGGGCTATAACAATGATTTCAACATATTGATGACAATTTGGGGAAACAATACTTATGTTTTTTCAAGATGCCCAATACATTTCATTTGGGAATATGGAAAGTTTCTTCACGGTTGCAAACATTTTGAATGTATAAATAGATAAAACATGCACTTTTGTATTGTCAAGTGCTGCAGAGACTTTCTGAAGTAATTAAACATGTTTATTAGTAACTACAGGTAGAAATCCACCTTTGGTATCACCACCAGATGTTCATCATGGAAGGAATTTAAGATTTCCGTTGCTACCAAGTCATGCACCACATACAATTTAAGAAATTATATCAAATTCTGTAGATTCTTGGATGCTGGCAGAAATTGAAAATTGGTTTTCAAGTGTGTCATGAGATATTTGAACTACAGGCCTGAGAGAGCTAAGTTCTACACAGCAGATCCACTGCAATTAATTGACCTGATTTAGTCATGCCCATTAATTCCAATGGATCTACTCAAGTGTGATTAACATGGTATACAACCCTTAATTGCATCAACGCTGCTAGGAAAGGTAATGAGTTCAAATGCATACTCTTAAACCAAATAAAATATCCAACCTGACCTGAGTCACAACTAAGATTAGACTGTCACAAATAAAAGATGGGGTTTTGGCAGATCTTTATTTTACACTTACTACCATTGTGGGTATTTAAATTTCTGATAATGGTTTGTCTCTGCTATTTACTCAGTACATTCAAAATGAAAGCATTTACTGGCTACAATGCAGCCTTCCCTCAACAGCCCAATCCTAAACACACTTGAGTAGTTCAGATGTAATCAAGCTTGCTTTCAAGTTAAGTGTGCCTAGAATTGCTGCCCAAGGACACAATTCAGCTCCATTGCACCCTCTTTTAAAAAAAAAAAAATGCTTGTTTTACCTTTAAAAAGCAGTTTCTTTGTACCAAGGTTATTTTAAAATTCAACTTAACCAAAGCCAAAAAATGGGGCATATACCCTCACTGATACTTGAGTGCAATGGCACAGACATGTGCTTTTAAGGTTTTTTTTAACTTTTTTTATTTTAAAAAAATCATGCCATGTGTTTAGCATGGTCTTCTTACATTCAGCAGTTTTGTACTAAAAATATTTCATCTTGGCAGGAAAGCCCAGCATAAATTTACATATGCTACAAAGTTTTACATTTATTTACATGGCTCTTTTTTCCCTAGATAAAGGATGTTTTACACTTGCTAAGTTCATTTAAACAAGTTCATATCATCCAATTTCAGACTGGCCTCAACAGTTCTGTTTCAGCAAAAGATACAAAACATACAGAATGTGTTTCAAACACAGCTCAGTGAAATTCTGTGAACAAAAAAACACTTTGAAAGCTTTTGGCAATGCAAAAATGTTCTTGACCTGGCACACATAGACTGTTTGTGCTCAATGCAATACATTTCTATGGTTGTATAAAAAGCTAGAAATCAAGTGCATGCCCATGTTTTCATTCTTATTAAGTTCTATACAGAATGAGATTTCCAAATTTAAGCGTTTACATTTTGGTCACAGGGTTCTGGATGGATGCCTACCCGCCCAAACCACCAATTCAAATGATACAGGTCTCGTAAACTAATAAAATCCATCACAATCTAAATGGCTTTCTTAAAACAATTTTAGGTGTTTGTGTTTTTTTAATTAGAAA